TGATGAAACAGTTTCTTCACACACAGCATGATTCAAACTCGAAACCTGTATCTGTCATTGAATACTTCCGTATTTCACTTTATCTTCTGCAACCGATGAACGATAATACTAGGAATATTTCAGTTTTATAAATTTGTTTGCATTCAATATCTATGCTGCAATTATCATACGTTGTTGAGAGAAAGAGTTGACTGGGCCGAGCTTAATGCCTAATGGATTGGCCTCTCATATGATTTTCATTATTTAAGCGATGTATGCTTAGCTGCATCCACGTTCGAACTATATGTGCTACATAGTATCTACAACTTTTCTTATCCCACTATTTAGTGCACTTCATATTTATAATTGTCGTCATCAACAGCTAAATCTAAGACAAATTTTGCTGCTCACAATTTATAATATGAGAGATTATTTCCTCACGATCCAAGGTGAGGATAGGACTAGAGGAACAAACGGTAGTGAATCGCAGTACTCCCGGCGTTCTACACAGAATCTATACCAACAAGCCCAATGTTTCTTTATTTTTCTTATTCACTAGCCAAACGTTTCGATACATCGATTTTTTAAAAACAAGACTGTTTTATCCGGTCATCAACTTAACTAAAAACGACTTTTGCCCTGGGGAGGATCTTGAGGAAAACCACTCCAGAATTATTTTTAACGGATGTCATCTACACGATAATCGAATCTGCTTTCTTGCTAACATTTCTAAATAAACGCATTGGCAGACTGCGGAAAAGTGGATAAAAACAGGTAATCTGAATTGCTGATTTGTTAGGGCTATCATTTGTTTAGATATGCAGCTATATGCCCTGTTTACCAGACTTTCTGCCTCCACGTGATGTGGCATGCTACAGGAACAACGAGGAAAACATTTCATTTCGGCTTGACGAGATAATTTCGAAAACGCGTCAGTGCATTGATGTGTCGCCGAACCAGTAATCTATTCTCTCATAAATAGAGCATGTACGTGTTCTGGCTTCGACGAGCTTTATTGCCTTTACCGTTCCTAATTAATGATGCTGACCATTCAAGGTTAAACGGTACCGTGCATAACAATAATTATAGTTTAATTTGAAAGTTTCGATATTGACTCATCCTTCTGCGATGAATACTGAAGCCCCAGAGGCATTTTTCCTGCATTTGTTTGTCTAAATCCTTTTTGTTATCAGATTCAACCAAAGATTTCCATTTTATGCTGCTGATTTGAAGAAACTGAGCTGTTGTCTGATGATTTAGTCCCCTTTCCACAAATACGCGCATAACCGCTGATCCCGAATCACCACATCCATGACACGCCACACAATAGATTAAAATTGTCAACTTTATAGGAATAACTCATCAAGTGAAGAAACCGTTTGGGGTAAATAACTTTTTCTTTTACACTGTGCGCAGTTGTTTTACAAGTAACAGCACCGTTTTGTTCAGTTCATGGACGAAAACATTGCCGTATGTTATTACATGCCCATCAACTATATGTAACCACATCCTCTGGTTCAAAATATGTTTCGCATCCTGATTTGTCAAATCATGCACTGTTTGGAACATTTAATTCAGTTTCTATCCCCTGCCACCTGTTCTTAGGCAGGCATCGGACGCGGTTGCAAATGGACCATCAAGCAGTTTCGTCAGTGGATGCATGAACAGAACCTGGATGATAGACTTATGTGGATTCGGATACAGGTTTTGATTGTGCTCACCCTTTTGAGTCAAGCATCCAGCATTCCAAAAGTAAGATATAATAAACATATCTGGTAACCCACACAATTCCACTGTTATCAAGTTCTGTTAATTGTTTTATTTCTGAGCGTTTACATTTATCGTTTGTGGTATCAGATTACTCATTACCTAAAGTTGGTGATATGGGGTGTATTGAGCCGTTCATACAATTTTCAGCGACCCTTTTTATCCCCCAGGATAAATCACATCCTGAATCGATCAATCTGGCAGTAGAATTCACGGCAATATGATTCAAGTCTTGGGTAGGGCTTTTGTTTAACTTTCGTAGCATCTGCGGCTTTGAAGTACATTTTGCTGGTCAGCAAGTTCTCAGCTGCGTGAAACACGATACGAACGATAACGGATAGAACGGTTCTTGTTCACAATGCTTCGGAACATCGTGAATGGCATTCATTGATGTGGGTGTGTGTGCATGCGTGTGTGCGCATCAGGGAAAACCTATTCCTGCCATCAAACATTGCTATATAATTGAAGTGATGAGAATGAGAAAACAACAAATCCAAATAGATTCGTTCACAGCTTTTATCATATAAACCTGGACAAATCGATGACAGAAGTATTAAACTTGGAGATAAAGTTCTTCTATTCGGGAAGAAAATTCAAGCAATTAGATACGAAGGTCGAGTTTCAAAATCATCTTACTCAATTCTCGGACTTGGGTTCCTCATCTCGTGTGGAAGCGGAACAGCCTGGGTCTATTCTGGCGAGCACATGTTATCGATATCAGAGTGTAAAATCCTCGACTAACGGATTATAATGGAACAACATCTAAGAAATTCAGAGAGTAACAACGGAACACGGATGTTAGCATAATGAAACCGATCAAGGGAGCCAGTATCGTCTTACTCAATAAATCAAATTACATCAGGAAGATAGCAACAATTCTGAATGATTAATCAAAGTTCATAAAAATATCCCGTGAAAATGACAAGACACCTCAAATGTAGAAGGCCCTTTCTACGGCTCTATAGACACTGCCACTTGTGATCGGGTTTGTCCAACGGGAACTAATATTCCACGGTTGTGTAAGATTATTGTATGGACATCTGGAGAAAAGCTGTGCGATTCAGAGTACGCTGATAACATCGTATGCCTGTTCGAATCTATGGAGGATACGCAATGCGATCTTGACAGACTAACAAGTCATGTATCTCCTTTCGGCATGCGCTTTGCACCTTCAAAGTACAAAGTGATGCTACAAGGCTGGGTGTAGTCTACCCCAGCGCTGATGCTTAATGGTCAAGAATTAGTTGTAGTGGAATGTTTCACCTACTTAGGTAGCTGCGTTTCAAATGACGGTAGCATAGTCAATGAAGTAACCGCTCGCAACTTACACAGTATTGAAACACCTTTGGTGTAGACCAGATGTTTCGTTGAAACTGAAAGGTCGTGTATACTGCGCCAGTGTGCAGCCAGTTCTGCTCTATGGTTGTGAGACCCTAAATTTGCGCGTGGAAGATATTCGTCGTCTTGAAGTATTCGACTGCAGATGCTTACGTAGTTTGGCGCGCGTTGGATGGAGCGAGCTTGTAAGCAACTCTGAGGTGAGGCGTCGCGTACTTCGTAATGATTTGAAGGAGAATTCGTTGTCCCATTGAAACCAGATTAGTCGGCTTCGCTGGTTAGGACACGTATTGCGCATGCCCAGCCATCGTCTGCCGCACCGCGCCCTATTCTCAGTTACGGCTCCAGGTTGGGAGAAACCGCGTGGTGGTCAACAGATGATGTGGAAGCGAGGCATAAGGAAATGCACAGAGCGATTAGGTAGAATCGATGTCTCCCGTCTTCCAGATTGGGGGCCGAAAGACTACAACTGATTGGCTGGAGACAATAAAGGATATGGTGATTAACTGACAGCAGTGGCGCTTTTGTCGTCATTTCTAAACAAGGCAGAATGTTTGAAAAAAGGTGTGCATGAAAACTTAGATGTAGTGCTCTGTGTTAAACATGGAGGTTTTTTTTCTTTGCCTCCCTCCAAGTAGACCGTCTCCATTCTGTGCTTTATCATTTAATTTGTGTACATTGTGAGCTTGGCAACGATCAGTGAAGTTCGCTTCACTGTATCTCGCTGTACGATGATGATGATGATGTTGTATAGGATGCCTAAAGTACATATGAGTGGAGTTTCCCTCCGGCCAATCCTGGACATGTGCAACTCTCCTTACCATGCGTTAGCCGGATGATTGACTCGTCTTCTGGAACCGGTGAGAAAGACGTTAACTCAGCTTAGCATTAAGGATACAATCGGTCTCACTTATGTCTTGAGTGGTTTATATCTCAAATATCGCCACATGTTTTCGTTAGATGTCACATCTCCGCTCAGGAATGGTCCCATTGACGAAATATTTGATTTTCTGTGTACCTATATCGAAAGCAAAGGGATTAACTTAGGCCTACCGTCAAATGACCTAAAACAATCGTTCTTCTTCTGCACTCACCATGTGCAATTCAAGAGCAATGAGGATAACTATCGCCAGAATGACGGTGTAGCAACAGGGTCCCCATTACTGCCCTTGTTTGCTGATGTTTTCATGTCCAAAATATAAAACGGTCTGTTTGAAAAAACATTGAACGACGCGTACTGTACAAACGTTACTTAGACGATGTTTGGTGCGTGGTCTAATCTACAACGGATTGCCACCATATACTGGATAATTTTAATGCTGTACAACGGAATTTGAAATTCACCATTGGAAATGAAGCAAACAATCAACCAGCATATTTAGATGTTTGTCCACCTCGTTGTGATTGCGGGTCCATCATGCGGTCAGTACATAGGAAGGCGACATGGAATGAGTAGTACGTTCATTTCCGTAGATTGGTACCACTCAGTATCAAGAAGAATATCATACTCAGTTTGGCCAAAGGAGCTAGGAGTATTTGCACGAAGGATATGCTGGTTCAAGAGTATTAAAATGTGCGGAATGCTTTCATTCAGAATGCATACACGAGGCGCTTGGTGGAATCTGTGATACAAAGACAATAGGCGTTTCACAAGAGGGCAATTTCTAAGAAGAAGTCTGTGTACATTTCTTAAGCATTTAAAGGCGAAACCTTGGCAGAGATTGTGCATAGAAGGCTATGAAATGCCACCAACAAAATGTTCTACGCAGCTAAGCTCCAAACTCAATTCACATCTATACCTTTTTCAGTTTAAGATGTCCGAATATCAATGTAGAATGTCATGTTGCTATGTGGATAGTGTGGTTTCCCCATCGTTTCACATTGTCTTGTCCCTCTCAACTGTAACAATGGCCAAAGAAATGCCCTCTGACCCCCTCTGCAATCTGATTGGATAAGCTTCCGCGATTTGCAGAACTTGGAACCCACCAGCCCCACACGAGACAATCTGATTACGGGATTGTACTTTTGTGATGCTCTTATTGTCACGTCCAGTCTATCCGTGTGGTGATGGCACGCCTGCTGTGCAGTCGAAGTTCACCGGGCCTGCTAAAGACTCGCGGTTGTAGATAAGGTGTGGTTTCTCGCTCGGGTTAGCTGGGCAAGTACCAGGTCCCTTGTTGCGGCTAAACCATTCGACCGATGGATAAGTGAACCCGATCGGTCGTGTGATTTTCGGGCCGGCACAGGAGGAGGATAGGTTCCGAATCCGATGCTGCTTAAGTGTTGGTAGAGAATCACCACATGAGAATNCATTTGTGGAAAAATGCGCCATGTGGGAGATTCGGAAAAAGAAAATTCAAGCGATGATGGCACTGGGCCAACGTTTGACTTGTCTAAGATACACTATTTTTTTAAGCGGGTCTTCGGGAAAATTTTCCGGCAGGCGTGAGACGGGAGTTTAGTTGGAAGAAATTCACTCCTGTTCAGCCAACCGAAAGCCATAGACACCAGCCTACAGGAATTACGCAACTCTGAAACAATTGCGACTCATAAACTAAAAGTGCATCTCACAAACTGCCCTTATATCCGGGTTACGATGACCTTTGGCAAGTGACCTGTCTAATTTCATCGGTGAGAGTATCGTACATCAATTCACATAGGCGCATCCGCGCGACGGTGGTTTTCAGTCCCTCGAATCTGACATCTCACTCCACACACCCGCTCACCAGTCAGTCGCGATTGTCATTCACCCGTTTGCACGTTAGTGCGACAGAGCTCATCGATAGACCGAATGACCTTGGCTTTGTTGACCACTGCAGCAAAAATGACCACATTCGAGTGCCCCACAAAATCCCAAAAAACCTTTTAGGAAAATCATAAATCGTCGTTTGTCTCAGCTTTTCTCTCCGTTGGAAATCACCAAACGCGCTGTTTAAATTAATTGTACACTCCAATAATCGACCCGAACTCCGAGCATTAGTCAAGGCAAACAGCTTCACTTGACCCAATAACTTCTGCGCCTCTCTGTTGAGATAACTTCGGGCGCATTCACTACCTCACATTCATCTTCTTCTTTGCGATGCTTAGAATGATTCGAAACGAACTCGTCTAATCACTATATAAAACTTTTAAATAACCCACTTCTTCATCAAGTTCCAAACAGGCGATTTCTTCATCAATAATCACATAATGAGTAAAGTCCACGATCAAATCGTTTTTATCCTCTGGTGGCTGCATCAGTGGCTGAATCAGTGTGGATTTGAACCCAGCTTTCATGAAAGCGTTGATCAATACGTGCGGGTGCGCAGATACCCAAGCTTTCTTGACCAGATGAATGGTCATGAGAATGTCCACCTCGACTTTCATTATTCGTTGCTCATCTTCGATCAAAGACGAAACGTATTCCAGTAAATGTTTCCGAAACGAGCATTTGAAAGACCAAATCACACCCTGATCCATTGGTTGTAACATTGAAGAACAGTTCGGAGGCAGCCGTACCAATTTGACATTGGAGAATACTACGGCTTGGTTATGACATGGGGCGTTACCCGTAAATAGTAAAATAGAGAGCCTTTGAGAAACCATTTTGCTGTTGACATCGGACAACCAACTGTGAAATAATGTAGAAGTCATCCATGCTTTCTTTGAAGAATTGCAACTGCATGAAAGACTTTTTCTATCTATACCTCGGAGACATCGTGGAGTTTGAAACTTTCCAATCACCAACAGTGATAACCATTGGGAACTCTCTGTGTTCTTCCCTCAGCAGTAAACCAAGCCCAAGTTACCTCACTCACTGCCTTGAACTTTTCGTTGGTTTTCAGGTGGCATCTTCCCTCAGATGCTCCAGAGTTTAAAAATTACCCGATAGTCATTCGATGGGATACAACATTTTAGACAGTTTTTCGTGAAATTCCAAGTGATTTGGCTACGGAGCTCTGAGTTGCATCTGGCTGTTTAAGCATTTCCAACACATTTTGCTTCTCTCTGATCTATAGGCGCTTGCACATTTTGACGTCAAATGAAACTGCCTCCGATCACTTTCATCGGTGTGACTTCCTCGCAAGGATTATCCAATCAGTGAACAGTACCATGCACGCGTCACACTAAGTGCAACACCATTGGTTTGAGTGCGATATTTCAGGGTGGATGATCAATGATCGTCCCGAACATCGGTCAACGACCAAGTGAGTAGGTATCAGGAACTGTGATATATTGAGGGGTGCGACATTGCATGGTCGTAAAGTACGTTATTAAGCATACGGTTGGTTTGGGTTTTCGAAAAAGTGGGAAGATGTTGGAAAATGCGACTTCTCAGGGGTGCGACATAGCACGAGATTGACTGTAGAATTAAGACAGTCCGTATAATAGTCATGCATCCAATTCAGCAGATGTAGTGGGAGATTTTGTTACTGTAACGGTGTCAATTGGGTGTTTCTACAACCTGAGTCTAAAAAGCAAATGTGATCAGTTAAGGCGTAACTGGCTTGGGTTGCGGCGTCATTGATGAAAAGCAGCACAGTCACCCAAGTTCACCTCATATCACAAGCGTTGCTGCTCAAATAGACCGATGATACAAGTGAAGAAAAGTACATCGATCGGAGTATACCGTAAGCACAAAACTCGTCCCTAGTCGTAGTTATTGTGGTAAGCTTCGGTTTCTGAGCTATCGTCAATGTCGGAGCAACTACGACCAGTTGTACTTTAGTAGTATCGCGCACGAAAAAGTGTGTCACCTTTCATGCTTATCGATTCCGGTCAAGCTTAGCTGTCCCACGCAAATCGCACGGCTTCACTGACCTGTCGAATCGATGTTCGTCAACGAGCTCGACAAGATGCAAGACACAAAAATCGCAGGAAGACAAGTAGTTAGTTGAGGGTAGAAAAATCACGTGATCAATTGACCATTGAGGTACGCTGAACGGAAGCGGATCCCACCACAACGTTCCTTGGTCAATTCAAAGTGACAGTTTCTCAGTTCAATGTGATGATTTCTCAATTCAAAAAGACGGTTTTGTAAATCAAAGTGATAGTTTCTCAAATCAATCTTAACTTTAAGCGAATCCTACGTAACTTCACATGAATCCATTGTAACTTCAAGTGAATCCAACCAATCGCATTCCACGGGGAACCCCACAAGACAACTGGTATTTAGGGCGCCAAACACCCCAATTGGATCGAGCCCGCATAAACCACATCCATTCCGAATGAACTAACTTCTCCAAAAACGAAGAAAAGTACTTTTTGTGTGAGTTACCGAGCGAGGATGAAAGTCTCCGTGGGGTGGGTGGAGTGGGCTGTTTGCTCCTCCCCTCTCGTCTTACCCGGGAACATAAAGTTCCCGAGTAATCCTTGATCGTTGATCGAGTGTGCTTCATAGACATCAATGATCGAACCCGGCATGAATTGGTCTCTCTCGGTCAGGTAAGGACGCGAATCATGTCAAGAAGGATCAATAAATCGGTCACCATGCCCAGACGTGAATGTTGGGATAAATTGTTGCATGATTGGATTCAGTCCAGGCCCTTGATATCCTAGTGAGTAAACTCCACTGGGGCCGTGATTTCCTCAAATAACACCGATCCCCTTGAATCAAATGCGATTGCCCGTGTATATCTGAAATTGGAATGCGCACTTGGCAAGATAGTCTACAATGGTACAAAGATACCTTGAAAGAATTAACGGTATTTCACCTGAATATCAAGATCATTTTTGAACCTATTGACTGGCAAACGGAAACCACATTTTTTTCTTATATGAAAGACCTAACCAGGTAGAAGCCGCAAACGAGCTTCTTCGCCTCTGTGGTTTTCTTACAATGTGTAATGATGGTTGATTCGGACAACTGCCTGAATCGTCTGTGTTTCTGGTGCACAAAATCGACCACCCTATTTCGGCCTTTTTGTGTTCGTTAAAAAACAACTCACAGTTGTCAATCACAGCAAGATGGACTAAACGAACGACAATCTGGCTGAATGCACCAAGTTAGAGTTTTCGGGAATCGTGCCAACCAATCGATCGTCTGAATCCGCTATAATAAAAGCAATAAGTTTGTTTGTGAAAAAAATGCAAACTTTTCTACGAAACGGAGAATTTATATTCCGAAAGACGCCAGTGACTATGGAGAAGTGGAGTAATAATGTGAAAAGTGCTCCCTTTAACTGCCCAGTTCGGCTCAGTTCAGAGTAGAAAAAAACTCATTGGTTTTCATCTTTGTGGTGGATAGCTCGTTTACACAATCTTTTGTGGTATCGCCCATTCTGGTTTTATGTTGCAAAATGGCATCCGTGGTGCCACCAAACTTCTTCTCGTATCCGACATTCATTGGCGCCGCGGTTGGCACTTTGTAACATATTTTCGGAATCTTCATAAATCCATCAGTGGAGGTAACTGTTCCACAAGCAGAGGTAAATCGTGGATCAACAGTAGGGCAACCGTGTGTAGAATACCTTACCCATCTCAACTCAATACCCCATGAAACACCCAGGACAGAGTTATCGGTGTTATTTGAG